ATAAGTTTTTACAAAACTTTCGAACGAACGAACGAACAAAACAATTTTTTTTTATGTTGTCGAACGGTCGAACAAGTGTTCGAAAGTGTTCGACGGCCAACACTAATTGTGACTCACAACGATTAAATTGATTCAATAAGTCATAAGTTGACTTCAAATTTTCAAAAATAAATTCATATTTCAAGTCAACTAAGGCGTTCCTATTCTCAGCTGAAAAAAAAACTCACTTTTTCACATCCGGTTTGCATTCCCACGTTTGAAACGGCAGATTTGCATACCAATTCACGGCCAATCCGAAGCATCCCAATCGTCCGGCACGAAATTGAACTGCCAATTTTTCTTCATTGAATTTTGGGTCGTGTACATCACGCGTACTCCATCGTCCAATCACATCGTCATACTTCATTGATGGCGGTGGTCTGGAAATGGACAAAAATTGGATCAATTTTAATTTTCGATTGTTAGTTCAACAATTTAGTAGATCGATCGACTTTTCAAATGGTTTAAGAATTGAATATTTCAAAAAAAAAAAATTGCTTGAAAAAAGTTGAAAACTGTTCAATTACTCTTCATCATCGCTATCATCAAACTCGTCTTCACTTTCCTCTTCAATCGGTTCGATAGCTTCAGGCACTGCTTCGACCTTCTTACTGGGATTCCAAGTAAATTCTTCAGTTTTGAAAAGCATTTCATCCGTATTGGATTCAGTTTCTTGTTGATCAGAGCCAAGTTCATCAGGCAACGACGCGGACAGAATTTCCGATATCTCATCCATAAATTTTTGAATTTGTGGCTGTTGCTTTTCGTGTAAGTCGTCCAAATCATGAAGTAACTGAGAAAATAAGTACTCTTTTTCGTTCGGATTTATTTCGGTGGGTTTGCGGTCCAAAATTTTCACAGTGAATTTTAAATTACGTTTCGGATGTAATGGTCGCGGCGAATTTGTGGGAATTAAAAAGTCTTTTGTTGATTCAATTTGAACACAGTCTTTTTCCACATTTTCAGAAGCACTGGAAAAAATCGTTGAACTCTTCGGACGGGACTCTGGCTCACTCAAAGCTATTATGTAACCATCGGGTAGTCGAGGCACAATTATATCTTGTATTATGAAATTGATATCAATTTTCGGCGGAATTCGCAACAAATTGAAGTCTGTAATGCTCACTTCGGTGCGTTGGGTTTTGCGTGATACCATTCGAATTGAGCGTTGAGTCGGTAACTGATCGGTCGATGACTTGTTTTCGATACGCTCAGAAACTTCAGTCTCGGCAACGATTTCCCAACGACACACCGTCGGCGGTTCAAACCATATGATGTCATCGGGTAGTCTAGAAGAAAGGAACGATTTTGAATATGTGTTTTTCCTTTGGGAAAATTAGAGAGATTAAAAATTTCTAAACTTCTCATACCAAATCTCAAATTCTTGACTGTATCATTTTAAAACAAAATTTTCAATGTAAACTCACGTGATGGTAACATATGCCAATTTACTGAGTCCACGTTCAACGGCTTTCACTTCAATTTCGACCTCTTCAGGCAGTCGACGAACGCCGGCGGGAGTTGGATCTGGAGCTCGAAAATACTGGAAAAACTGTCGTTTCTTTAGTGCCTTTGAACCGCCAACTGGAATTTGATTTTTGCAAAAGATTAATTCTGAGACATTTTTTGGAGAACTTTCCGTTTTTCCGGATTTTTTCAGGGTTTATCGTTTTTTGTTTTTTTTTAACTATAACAAACTGCTTACTTGTTCTTAAATAAGATTTTGCTGATAATTTAACGCTTTGTTCGGGCTGTTCAAAGTACTCCAAACAGTAAATTCCACCCACAACCCGATATTGCCGTAGATTGACTTCGAATTCCTTCATATTCAGTGCTTCGCGTCCTTTGCGAAGGCGATCTTTCTTCATGATGTCGTTTATATAATCCATGTAAATTTTGTCAATGTCCACGATTGGCATGTTTAGCAATTCGAAATTATCAAATGGAACGGCGCCATCATTACCACTAGCTCCAACTTGAGGTTTTCCATCACTCTCGGCCCGTGCGATTTTTTCCAACTCTTTGCGCTTTTTCCACTCTTTTTTTGCCGCTTCACTCAAATCCATTTTGATCGGTCTGTCACCGGGCATTTGAAAAGTCGGACAAAAATCACTGAAATGATCGTAATTCAACAACATTCCACGGATTGCACCGTTTTTACATTTCACCGAAGGTGGTAACGACAAATTTAGCTTGATCGACGGGAAATCGATGCTAATGTAACTCCTGGAGAAGAAAAGTGATGGGAATTTAAGCAAAGAGTTGAACGATCATTTTAGAATGAGAAATTCCCCCATTGAGAATTGAAAACATTGATTACGACTTACTTCGCCTCTTTTTGACGCTCTTTTTCATTTCTGAAGAGAAAGACAAAGCATTTGGATTAGCATTAACGTTTTTAGTAAAAAAAAAACTTTTTAAACTGTTGCCAATGGTTTTTGGAATCAAAATTGATTGAACATATTTCAACTCGGTCATTTTTCAAAGAAAATTCTCATTTTTATACAAAAACTCACAGTAATGGTAGTGGTATATCTCGTTTGGTCCAGAGATGTGATTTGAATACGTCACACTCATAGAAATGGGTAGCTATTAAAAGACCTTCAAGTCTGTCCATTTGAAAAAAGAGTTTTTTTTAGATTGGTGAAAAAAATATTGTTTTTGTTTATTCTTTAAATTGAAAATGAATGAAAATTGAAGATTTGAAAATCAAAACACGAAATTTTTTGCCAAACACCAAAAAAAATCAGAAGAGAAAAGATTTTTCCATCAAACGAAACCAGTTTCAATTTAATCAACTCACTGCATATCACGATCGATATTCGAAAGAATTTTGAATGAAAAATCGTCGATGTATTCGGTCAGTTTTTGTCGGAATTCCAACTTCAATCTGTGTAGTTCGGTGATTATTGTTTCTCTAAGTCCATTTGGTTGCTCAATAGCTTCGTCAATTTCTTTGAGGATCTAAATAAGATAGATTTATGTCGTTAACACTGGGTCGTCCAAGGAGATTTTATTATTTTCGTTGATTTGCATTTTCATACCCCAAGAACATCAAGTGTTCTTTTGGCATACAAATTGCCCAGATTTGGTTGTTGCTGTTGCAAATGAACTCTGGTCGCATTTGCAATGCTTCTGTTCTGTGTCAGTATTGTTCGTTCATCTGTTCTCAATAGCCAATTCTGTTCGTTTTCATTGTATCGGTTACATTCCAGTTGCCACATGTGAATGTATTTTCGCAAATCACCGGGATCATAGGCGTTTGGCAATCCGTTACACCGCATGTAACGCTTCCACTATTGAATTCGGATAAAAATCAATTGAAAATTAATTTTTTTTTATTAAACTTTGATCAATCTGTTTATTTTTATCGAGGTAAAAATTTGAAGAATGTTATTGGCATCACATGAGGCTTTGTTTTTGATGAGGCTTTTGAAAACTTCTAAGCAATACAACACATTTTGATCGTAAGCCCTGCTGAAATACACATCTCAGCAGGGTAAGAAACTCACAAGTTTTCTTGATTAATAAAAACACTGTTGGTTTTTTTTGCCTTACCTCTTGCAATTTTAGCTGTTCAGCGTAAATTTCCTCAATTTCCTTAGTGATATCTATTAAGAGAATGGAATTGGTATGAAAAGATGTTGCTTTGTTTAGAAGGGAGCTGTGTTAAACTGAGTTGAAGACGTTTAATATCTAATTTATCATTTATTCATTCAATCGAATTCATTTTATACATCATGCTTACTTCTGAAAAATTCACAACTTTCAGCCAATTGAACGCGCCTCATTTTATTCTCCTGAATTTCACGCTTTTGTCGCTCTCGAGCATCAGACAATTGTTTCAGTTTTAGATTTCGTTCTTCTTCCAGTTGACGTTGCCTGCAAGTTTTAATGTGTTTGAACAGGGATTTTCAAGTATTAAGTGTGTTTGGAAAGAGTTTCTTTTAACAAGTTTAACGGATATATTAGTGGATACCACTGGAATTATTGTTAATTTACAATGGAAGAAATAGTATGTTTGTTTCGCTTCAGCGTTTTTTATCTGTAATTTCATTTTCAACACCTTCTCAATTCGAGTTTTTTTTGTTTTTCTTGATTTTCTATAAAAACTGTCATTTTTCTCATTTTACATCCATTAAGCTAAGTACACAGTTCCTTGTGAAATGAAAAAATTTCGCCGGTGAAATCTTCACAGGTGATATTTGTATGGTATTTTTTTATTTTCCAATTGCAAGCATAATGATTTTTGATGCATGAAACAGTTAACTCCTTTCAATATCAACACGACACATGAACAAATTTGAATTTTGAATTCTTTCTTTAATGTATTTTGATCTTTCTTATTTTTTCACGGCTGTGAAAAAAATTTCGCGTACATTTTGCACGCGAAATATTTTTCACGACCGTGAAAAAAATTTGTTCAGACAAAACACATAGAAGAATGAACTCAAAAACCGAATTTGTTCATATGTCGTGTTGATATTGGAAGGAGTTAACTGTTTCATGCATCAAAAATCATTATGCTTGCAATTCGAAAATAAAAAACACCATACAGATATCACCTGTGAACATTTCACCGGAGAAATTTTTTCATTTCACGAGGAACTGTGTACTTAGCTTTACTAACTACTTGACATTATGAATAAATGAAAACACTAATTCAGTTATTACTGTTAAATTCATGTATACAGAAGAGCAAAAATGATTGAAAAAAAAAAACAAAAATTGTGGAGTAAAAAAAAATTGAAATTAATAAAAACCATACCTTTCTTTTTCCATTTCGACGCGAAGTGCCTCAGCTTTCTCGGCTTCGTACTTCTTCCGTTCTTCTTTACTCATCTTTTTCTTTCCCATTTTTGAATGTTGGTTTTGTCTAGAATATTTTTTTCCTCCAAATTTCAGTCCAAAAGACAATTCAAAACCATTTCAATCAAAAGAGAATAATTTTATAGGTACTGACTGTTTCGATCCAAAATGTATACGCTTCCAATCGAAATATCAACTGACTTTCTAATAAATTTTAAATGTTTTATCTTTATTTAGAAGGAATCGATCATAATCTAGTTAATAAAAGTTATCAATCAATGAAATAAGGTATGAACTTGTGTTTTTTTCTAAATTCGATCGACTTTTGCAAAAAAAAGTCTATTAAAACTCCACGGGCCCAAACTGGTATTGCTTCAACTTCTCTGCATACTGTTGACAACAGTCGGTTGTTAAGAACCGAATTGTTGTTATAGCCGCTTTCTTAATACAAATGGTATCAAAATGAACAACGGCCGTTGCCATGGCAGCCGCTTATTTATCAATACTCCTCCAACGTTGATATCAATATTCCCCTAACGTGTTATAATATAACTCTATCATATTCCAACACCTTGCTGTAGCACCGCGAATTGGAGCAAAGTGCATTGTTTACCTATTTCTACCATAATTTCCCTCACTAATCGTTTTTTTCGCATTTTTTTAATGATTCATTTTGCCACAGACCTTTAGCTCACATTCTATTTTTTTTTTTTAGGCAAAAACTTCTTCAAGCCAAAAGCTTTGACTTTACTCATTGAACTCTTTAAGGATCGGTCCAGCCGAATGTGTTTACGACATTACTTTGATTTTTTTATGCTTTTATTGCTTGCCCTCGTACAAATGTTTGAATGTAATGCGAAATGAGAGTGCATCCGTTTTTATGAGATGAGTTTTTATTTCATCATAAATGTTCTATTTGTCTGTGGTTCCAGGAATGAATCTTCTAGAAAAGGTCTCATTATTATTGTCGATTACAATAATGAATGTGCCGAGAGATTTGTTCATTTGCATTCCATCGTATGGAAACCTTTTCTTCAATGACCTCTGGAACAGAATACTGATTCAAAGAGTTGGCGAATTGGAAATCTCAGCAAATCAATGTTTCAATTGTATTTGTTCAGAAGAGAAAAACACAGGTAATTCCTTGCAACAAATAAACATCGACTGCATAAAAGTGACACAGGTAGAAAGAAAAAACGCATGCAGGAGAAAAAAAATGGTTATGCAAATAAAGTGCTCAGTTTCAAACTGAAGGGATTAGAACCTTTGTTTCGATCAAGAACAAAGCCCAAGAGACGAAATGAGAGGCTTTGAACAGTGGGTGTGCTTTAATTGGGCACAGAGTTCACAGATTTCTATGCCAAAATACACAAGGCATCTAATGCAAAAGGGTAAATTGCCAGCTAAAATACCCGTAGAATAGAGAATTTCCATGGAACAATTTTTCGCAATTGATACCGATTTGTTTAACAACGAATGTTTCAAGGCAATTCAAGTCGAAAATGGTTTTTATGCCACTCTGGCATTGGAGTTTGTTACACTTTTGTCAAAACACTTTCATTGTATACATACACATACTTATGCATGTACAGTGTACACTTTTATCATTTTACGCAAAATAAATCGTCGAAGAAAGTCAGCAAAATTCAAAAAATACCCAAAGAAAAACCGGAAGACATTAGATTTGACCCTCACTAGACAGCAAAATTCGAAATTCAAACATCAAACTTTGAATTTATCGAACGAAACATCCTAATTTGAAGTTAAAAGGCCAAAAAAATGGAATTCAATTGACAAATTTAGGAAAAAATCACCACTGATCCAAAGTATTCTTCATACTCTCAACGTTTCGAGATCTTTCTTCATACCTTCAATGTTTCGTACATGTTTGAGCAATTTTCTGCAACATTTCAACGGTTTTGGTTGCATCGATGACTCAACAAATCTATTATTATTCGGCCGAACAACGAACATTTTTCAGTTTTTCACCATTTCTTTTCTCTATTCAAAGCCATTTCTTCTTTTCTATGTTCCAAAAATTTTTTTCTCTTCTTTCCTGGTCCAGACAGCAGAATATGTTGTCAACTGCTGGCAAATGCATCGATCAAAACTGCACAAAACACAAAAGAAACTCTTTGGCAATGTTGCGTTAAGTGAAATGTTTCACGTTACGATGAACATATTTCTGAATGTTTTGTCCGCTGGTCAACAGAGAGAGAGAGAGAGCGAAGAGAGAAAAAAACTAGCAACGTCATGTGCATGTTTGTCAGAAGAAAATCGCTTGAAATTACCTTTTCATGTTGTTCAACGGAATCGTTGTTTTGTTTGGCCCGAGTTAATCCTTTTCTTTGTCCGTTTACGCAAAAAAAAATTCCCTTTTCAGTTTCATTTTTGCACATTTCGTTGCAGTTTTTCTGTCTTTCTCTCACTCTCTCGCTTTCTTTCTCAACTTCTCTCTCTATCTTCTTCACTCTCTCGCTCTTTGTTTGTTGTTCTCGGCCACATTTGGTCCAACGAATGCATCGAAAAAGCGACGCTGTTCAATTTTTGCAAAGTAATTTCACTATTGTTTGTTTGCATTATGCAAGCAATTTATGAAATCGTCAGACAATTGCCGAAAATCATGCGATTTTCTGGTTTTAATTTGCCTTCTCCGCCCAAAAGACCCAATGGATTTTCCAGCCGGCAAACGGATTGCTTTTTTTTTGCTGAGTGATAACAATCGGTCTGCTGCTGATTCCCGATAAGTCCCAAGAGTTTAAAAAGAATATAAGTGAAACGAAAAAAAAGGAAATATGAAAGAGAATTTTTTGAATCGAAAACGTTTTAAAGCCACAATGCCAAAGACGATGTTCGCAAGCGGATTTTGTATTGTTCGACGCAAAGTAGTTCCTTTCTGAAGACTGACGATTGAATGGCCGTTGAGAGAACTCAATTTATATCGTTAAATTGGAGTTTAATTCGAATTAGCTTCGGCTTTTTCTAAGGTAACAGGCGCCATTCAAACTTCTTTCATCCATTTAGGCGGTTTGATCCGTGATATGGGGATTTGATCTGTAACACGAGGGCTTGATTCTGTATTTTAATGATGATAAACACAATGTTTAAAAAAAATGATGATTTTACGCCTAATCCAATGAAAGCGAAAACTTTTGTCATTTTCTGGGTGATTTTCATTGAATCAAAGTTATTCAATATCATTTTGTTGAACTAAAATCATTTTTTCTAACATTTGTTCCTTATTGTTCGACTTTAATTGAACCAAAATCATTCTTGCCTCAATAAAAACCCGAGTTACGTCCTTTTGATTTCTTCATCGCTCGATCTCTTTATTTTTCAAAACGGAAGTACGCGCTACAATCAAATTGTTATGATTTGAGGATGTAATTTTGCCAAACCCAACCCATTCACACATTAGCTCTCATTGCATTGCTTTCAATCGAGTTGATTTGTTCAAATTTCGTATTTCGCATCCATAAAACCCTCCATTGAAATGCGTTCGAATGTGGTTCACCGAGCGAAATGTAACTGTATTGAACACAGTGCACAACCGAACGGCACTTACAGAGGCCCTCACACACTTCGGCATTTATTAAATCAATCAATCGTTTCGGTCGACTAACATTGCCGATGGTGGATTAACCATTGGAATATTGGCAAACGAAGAGAAACACCCACACAAATGACACTCTTCAATTCGACAGATAAATGTGGACAAAGGCATCAAAAGATGATGAATGCCGTCGATGAACAATGGCATATTTTATTCTTCACTGTGGTGGCAATGCATACATACACTGGCCTATGAAGCGATGATGAATTAATGTGAATCTACCTCTTTTCTCTGTCTCTATCTCTCTCTCTCTCGCTTTGGTCGCATTGTCTTTTGCCCAGAACCGTATTCGAAATATTGAGTCGAAATTACTTCAGCTTCGATCACTCACTCACTCTCAATGCTTCGGTCGATTCTCTAATTTCCTGCTGTTGAGAGGCAAACCGAACACATGTGAAAAATGTGCGATGTGTGTGCGTCGCTCTCGGTCGGCCAATGTGTTTTCAAATCGATTCGAAGCAAATGTGAAATTTAACCCCTTTTCGAACATGTTGACACATCTTCTTCTACTCATCATTCCGTTTTTCCGTTTGATTGTTTGCATTTCCGAGGAAATATAACGGCGCAAAGCGATATAATGTTGTCGTTGGTCCGCTCAATCCGTTCGGTTTTTATGTTGAATGCGGTCATTTTTACAACGCACGCACCCACAATCAATGCCAACAGGATCGTGACACGATTATTTATTATCTTTGGTCAAATGATTGCAGTGACCCTTTCGATTTAGCACATTTCGAAGGGAATTCATTAGTGCAGAATTCACTTTCATGAGAGTGTAAAATGGTGGAGATAAATATATCTCACACATTTATGTGCCTTGTGCTTGCAATTTAGTTAAATAGAAATGAATGAAGCATGGAAGATGAAACATCCATTAATGACCGTTCATTTGATTTTCCTTAGAGAGAGAAAGTAACTATCCAAGAATTATCCTCAAAAATAGATTTTTTGTTCGATAGATGTCAATTGAAATATTCCAGTTTTGGCTTTCATTTCAAAGCAATCGCTTAAAGTCGACTTCAAAATGTATAACTTGTTTATCGAGTCTGTAACAGTTATTCAGCATTCAAAATGCGAAACACTGAAACAATCCAATTCCGAAAATGACCGCACTAGAGATACAGTCTACTTGAAGTTCTCTTTACTTCAACTTAATTTCATTACCTAATTTTGTACCGACCGGTTTCCCAAGTTGCATGCAAAGCGGTTTTCATTTTCTAATGACCAAATTAGTTTGTGACGTTTGTGGCATGGAAACATGGTCAGACGATCCATTCTCACTATCACATGCAAGTTTTTTATATCATCAACGTAATACATAGGTTACACAACAATGTGCTAGCCACAATATAGACCAATTACGGGCATAATCGATGATAAGTCGATTGTGATTAGAGAAATCGGTGTCTGGTAAGGCACCGTTATTATTTATTCTAACGACTTTTTGCGATTTTCATCAATTGATCATAATCAAAATTTGTAACATTGACTTTTTGGTGCTGGTTTACATATGGTGTTCGAAAATTGTATTTTTTACTCATTTCAACTCTGAACTGCATTTTTAACGGTGATTTATGTCTTAAATTCCAAATATTATATTATTTTGATATTTTTTGCATATAAGGCAATGGTCAGCACGGTAACGTTACAATTCACATGCATTTTTGCTTAAAATTTCAGAAAATAATCATGGAAACTCACAATTGCAATGATAGTGCTGCCCAAAACACACATTTCAAAGGAACGACGTTTTTTTTTTCTTCAACCGTAGTTTTACACTTTACAAGCGATTGAAGACATTATGATGCCTTATTACATGCAATAATATACACGTTATTGCAATGACGCTACAAAATTTTGAAAGTGGATTTCGTGGTTGCTCTACGTTTTTGTAGAAATTAGCTAATCTCTGCATGCACGTAAGCCACAAACCATTGCATTTATTTCGATCTGATCAAGTCGATCAAATTGTTGTATGAGTTTTTGTGTCTTTTCATGCTTTTGAGAAGCATGTTCCACAAGCTAGTCAACGACAAATTGCCTCGGGTAAATCAATGAGCAATTTTACACACTGAAATCACTGACTTGATATAACATTATATTTATTTGAGCATGGAAAAACCCCAAATTCATATACATTTCTTGGCAACAGATTTTGCTTATCATATTACATATTTCAGATAAAAACCAGATATTTTTAATTTGTTTCTCTCTACATTTCGACAATTAACTGAAATTCAAATATTTTGAATTCAGCTAAATATAACTCAGTTTCAATAATTTATCAATGAAAATAGGTAAATTGTATGGCTGAGGTTTCGTTTGATATTTCAAGTGAAATTCCATTTCAGCCGCCTTACCTCTTTGATGTGCTAGCTATTTATGGTGCGAGAGAGTTCATTACTTCTGTCAAAATCAAATTTACTGAATTGTCTTGCAGTAGTGTTATGTAGAAAAAATAAATATTCCATTGTTTCAACCGCTCTTTATTCAACTACAGATTTGTTATTTTTGTCGAAAGAGTTTTTAATCAGGAATTTTTTTTTATTCACATATGTCTCGGTAACGCTACAAAATTAACATAATGCACTTTGTGCCACACAAGTCTGTCGCTCTCCTAAGGCCTTGTGTTGCAAATTCATCGATAAATGATCAATTGATAAAATTGCTAATTTTCCATGAAACTCATTTTCGATCGTATTTATGAAGTAAGTTGTATACAATTCCGTAAATTTTACGAGAAAGTGTCTCTGATGAGATTCACAAATACTTTCTCGTAATGCTTGTGAACTTGAAAACGTCGACAAAAGTTGAGTTCCACGATGAACAATACAAATTACCTCGGTATTGAGTAATACTTGAAGACCCAAACTCTACATGGTCACAAGCATTGACAGTTTTGATTCAATAACCGATTGAAAGGTCATTTTACCTGATCTAATGCTAATTTGTTAAATAAGAAATACTGCAAATTGTAATTAGACATGTAATGTGACAACCATCAAAATTGAGTGACTTGCATTCATTGCGATATTACTTTTTGCATAGTAACATTATTGCATCGAAGTTAAAACTCAAAATAAACTTTAAATTACCTACAAATCGTTTTAAAATGGTTATCAATGCGTTACCACATAGATCAAAATCCAATTCAAATTGTTAAAATTGTTTCATATATTTATGAAAACAAATATTTAACAAACAGTTTTGTATTCGAAATATTGAGTCAAAAACAATTTTATTTTATTTTTTTTTTATTCGATTCACTCAATGAAATCAATATTCAACTCAAGGAAAAATATATTTTTGCTTTGAAATATATTTCTTCATGGGCCCAAAAAAAATTGACGCCGTTTTGCTATGACATAATTGCCGATTACTTCAACAACAACTAAATCAAAACAATACCAAACTCACATTATATCGAACAATTTTCAAATGAATACCAAACAAATGAAACCGATAAAATAAAGTACATTTGAATGCTCGCTTGAATGGTTAAAAAAAGACCGGATTTATTTATTTATTTCACTTTTCAGATTTTTTCTGTTTGTAACCAAAAAAAAAAAGCCGAAGATAAATCACATTACGAAACATCTTGATAGAAGATATCCTCACTGCGTTGACAGCAGAAGAGATAACATATTGGCTTTGCTCGTTTTTGGACATTTGTTTCGTTTTTTCAGCAACAAAATGCATTGGGAGTTAAGCCGGAAATTCAATTCAGCTTTAATGTGATAAGGGAATCCATGCAAACTTATGTAAAAAAAATTTGCTGTCGTAACTTCGATAAATTTCTCTTCAAAAGAGCAGTTCAATTTGATTCAAATTATTTGAATGGAAAAAAAATCGTTACTTCATCGAAAATTTCATTCTAAAACCAAAACGTTCATTTTTCTGAGTCTCAGAAAGAGAAAATCTACATTACAGATCTCCAATACAGATTCCCTGTTATTGCCTCTCTCTATACAGCAAGATTGGAGCTGCCCACGAAAAAAGTGAATTTTATGATAATAAAAAACTTTATAAGCGAATTTCCGTGAAAATTACGAAGTCAAAAGTGGCAAAATTAAATCATTGAGTGTATTGCTAGGGGGGAGACACGAAACTTAAATGAGTAAAATTAGAATATTATTCAACGATAATTGGAAAAATAGAAGAAATTAGTTGGTTTGCCAATGTTAACGCTTATGGACGTATTTTTTATTGTTTACAAAATAATCCCGTTAGGTCTTCCATAAGCGTTGTATTGACAGTGTAATACGCTCTGCAACCGATTTTAATAGAAATAATAGCAAAAATATATAAAATTGAATGTAACTAGACTTTACTAGAATTTGTGTCTCGCACCTAGGTGTATTGAAGTTGGATTTCATTTGAGAGTGACTGTAGTTTGGTTTTTTTTTTTTAGAAAAAATATCTCTTTCGAAGTAGGCGGGAATTATTTTCATCAAGTAAATCAAATAAAAAGTAGTTCTATCGTTTAAACCATCACGTTGATTCTTACCCCTTTGACATAGACCAAGAAAAAAAAAATTACGCGTCAGAAAAAAACCATTCGTGTGCATGGTCGAACGATGCAATAAATTGACCTTGAGCTGCTTAGCTGGGCAGAAGTTTGAGCAATTAGCATTTGCTGCAGGTAGGAAAATGAGTTACTTTGCCATGGCTTTAGTGTCATTTTCATATGTAGATTGTAAAAGGATTAACACCGTATGCGAAACTGAGCGTAATTAATGCGTAAGTTAGAATGCAGCGGGTTTTTTTTCTATTCAGTTTATTTTTTTTTACTAAGAAGAGACAAAATTTGCAAATTGTTGCCATTGTTTTCATAATATTAGACACAGCATAATGTTTGAGTTCCATTGTCGCCCATTTTTGCTGTTTCTACGCATTTTCTGCACCACAGCAAATGGTAATGGCACACATATATGCGTATGAGTGCATGGAATGCATTTGCTTGCATGTGATTGGCTGATCGATTTTTGGTGTCTAAGCCTTTGCAGATAGCATGCAATGGTCATAGTTGGTCAGTCGAACAGTTGTAGCCATCGAGAGCGCACGTCTTTTGAGCATTTTTACTTTTGAACAAACGTTTTGAAAAAAGACTTTGAATTTTTGAATTAAAAACGTTCCTAAAGCCTAGAAAAACTAGCATTGGGCGAAAAAAAGAAATTTAAACGAAAGAAAGCTATTGGAATTTTCCATTTCAAATCGCCCGTTCTGTGTTAAATTTACCGCAAAAATGAATAACAGTTACATGGATACCAGTGACAGTAGTGACAATCCAATTGATTTGTCCCGTCGATGTGATTCGGTGGAAACTCGTAAAACACCATCACCCTACAATTCATCGTCGTTTGTTGAAACATCGCCAAGCTTAGAAAATGATTCACCTACATCAAACTCGCGCAAAAAGGCACTCATTCGATCGGACACTCCGCCAAATTGTTATCAATCCACCAAGTACATTCAGCGTGAATATTCAACATCATCACAAGGCTCGTCAAGATATCCCTATGCCGTTCCCGGTAAACGCAGTCCACCATCGCCAAAAGCCACATCGATGCATCATTTCATGCACGAACAAGCGATCAATTCAAACGAAGATGAAATCAATCCGTACATCATGCACGCCGTTGCTTTACAACAAAAACTGCAAAGTATTCCCGCATCGGTGTCGGCCAGTGCACCATCATCACCTGAGTCTGGGTCCAGTTCACAGTATCCAATGATGTTGGGCCGTGATGGAAAAATGGCACGACCATTCAAAGCATATCCACGTGATCCATTGAGCAATCCTTTTGCTTCGATTCCAACATCCGATTCACTCACCGATCGCATGTCTGCCGAACGATTCAACGTCTTCCGTCAACAAATGCTCGAACAAATCCATGCAGCCAATGGAGGTCGACCCACCATTACAAATCCCAAAATGCGACGATCTTCAGCGAAAAATTTCAATGACAGTGAACAAAATTCCGAAATAGAATTTTCACATCAAATTGATGTACCGAGTCAACCTGTCAACTGCCCATCAGATTCGTCGGAGGGTAACACAAAAAAACCACTCAAAGATAACGCCTATTTTGAACGACGCAGAAAGAATAATGCGGCTGCCAAAAAATCACGCGATCGTCGACGCATCAAAGAAGATGAAATTGCCATTCGGGCCGCTTATCTGGAACGAGAAAATATGGAATTGAAAATTGAATTGGCCACCACCAAGAGACAACTCGCACAATTTGTACCGTCGTAGAAATTAAGACACATTTGCGATTGAAAGTACAGCGTAGAAATAGATATTAGGATTGTATAAATTTTATTTATTTCAAAATTTAGACCTAAGTTTTTGTATACACCGAATTTTTTGATGAATATGAGATACGAATAAAAATTAACGTTTTAACGAAGCAAATGTTTGTTTTTGGGAAAGTATGGATTTTTTCAAGGCAGATTCAAGCTGACGACACTTCAGTGCAAACATCATTTGAGCGCTCGCAGCGCCACGAACTCTCGTATCATTTTGTATTGACTTTTCGATAGTTCATGAGTTCGCCGTAGACTTCGTCAAAACGTGTCGTCCCTTTGGGCAGATTCATAGCTTAAAATGGACTTTTTCCTTTTAGATTGTTTGTTTACAAACCACAAGAAGCTCATCGCATGTAATTATCGAAGAAATAATGAAAAATGAAGACGAATTACATTTGACTCTTTTTTTTATTGAACTTTTGGTATCATTTCTAAAATTCTTAACATAATTGATAACAAAATGATATTCTCTTACTCTTTTTCACTCTTGAAATAATTTTATAATCTATAATTTGTCTAGCTCTGTAACTTTTCATCGAAATAAATGAACTTAATTGATATAAACTGTTAGAGAAACTTTAAATTACGATCTTAATATTTGAGTATTTCAAGGTCGATCCTTTTCAAACTCAGATCAGTTTCATATAATAGTCTGGATCTCTCAAAATGCTGCCAAATACAGTACTTATGTACATCTGGGCTTTGGATAAACTTGTAAATAAGTCACATAACACTAATTAGACCGTATTTTTCGGGAAAAATAAGGTGACAAATGTTGAAAACCCATTGTGTTACATAACATAAAAGTGGTAACTATTGCCATATCTCAGTTTCATTACAAAAGTGAACGCTCCCACCAATATTAAGCCGATGACAATGAACCAAGTTTTCGCATGATATTTTTGAATTTTTTTATGAGGATCTATAATTTGCGTTTGTACTGGTGTCAATTGGACATTGGTTGCCGGAAAAGGTGATGTTTGTCGCTCCCCAAACCGATTTATTATCAGCTCTAAATCTGTTTCGATTAATATTATGTCGTCACATTTTTGCGGTGGCATCTCAACTCATGTGATTCATTGCATTGATACTATTTTTTGGAGTAAAATATGGTTTCAAGAATGAATGAAAATCATTTACCAAAAATTTGCTCAAAATTTACTTACTCCAGAAATTCCAAATAATACAGAATATTAGCAAAGACCCTTCGCTGAAGACAAACGGTATCTCCATAAAAAATAATTCAACTTCGTTTTACTCAGCTTCTGCTTGATTCAAGATCAGAACGCGCAAACAAATTCCTTTTGAATTTTTTCGATCCAAATGTGTAAGTCATACAGAAAAGCTCGACGAAACAGCTCTTAAATCTATGAAATGTTGAAAACGAGTCACTTGATTTTGATAACTGACTCATTTTGCACACTGTTATCACACCAACAAAACGAAAAATGTATTCAGAAATTCGCCGCCAGATGCTTTGGCCGATTCGTGTCGCAAAATACAATGATAGATTATTTAAAATACATGTATTTACACATATGTCTGTGTATTTTATCATTTTTATTACTCAAAACATTTTAATCATGAAAATGATAAACTATGGATAAATTACACAGTTCATCGAATGTTTTTGTTTTCGGGTGCATAGTAGCAAGAAATCGCCAGCTGAACATTTTCTGAGCTCAGCTCATTGAGCTGTTTCTGAGTAGAGGACTCAATAAATATTTTAAATGGAAGAAAAACGAAAATTTATCAAGGAAATTTTTCTTAAAAAGAAAAAAAATCGTAACGGACACACGATGGTCGAATCGAAGTAAAGAATTCAAAACAATATGCTCCATTCCATGATCAGGGTGACATTACCGGTCAGTAACGATCCTTCTCTTAAGCACCAAAAAAACATGCGATGAACTGTGTTATGAAATGCGTACATATTCAGTGATGACGCAAAATGAATCCCATCTTAGAGATTCTCAGCTAATGAATCACTAGTAATGATTAAATAAGGATTTACTCTCGAGATGTGGTTTTTAAGCTCACCATTTAGTTTTAAAGCAAAATGACAAAGAGGAAATCGAAATAAATTCATTGAATAAAAATGTTTATTCAGGAAATTTTGGGAGGTTCAGTGTTTGTGTCGGAGACAATGTTCGGCCGCTTAGTTTAAAAATAAAAC